TTTTTTTCCTTCGTCCAAGTTCTCTGTTAAGTTTTTAACAGTATTTCTCACTAAAGATGATCCTGTAAGGAGTAGTTATCCTGCCTACACGGGCGCATCTTTTTTTCGAGAGCGATTTAAACATTTTTTTTTTCAAAAATTTCAGAATTTTTGCATTAATAGTGTGTGTTTGTAAGAATAAAAAATTCGAATAAAATATTTCAKTTTGTAAATGAGAAAAAAATTTATGAAAAAAGGTTGTTTTTTACCCATGGAAATTTATGAAAACCTTAATAGTATACAAATCCGTGGGTATTATAATATTTCTATCGACAAAATGAACTAGTTCAAAAAAATACCCATTAGAAATCTATTAGTAAAAATTCCTCACAAAATGGAAGGTTTTGAGAAATTTGGTCGCAACTTTCATTTCATTGTTTCGTTGCGCCATTATCGTCCCATGCACTTCTCAAACGGTTATTAATATAAAAACATACAAAGTTTGCTATGAGGAACCASAATATCCCGATTCATTAAGAAATAAAGAATTCCTGAGGCCTTAAGCTCAACTCCCAAACAAAAAAAAAATAAGTAGAGGTAATCTAAAACCAAAGGTACAAAACATATCTCAAACTAAGCCAAGCCAATTTACGCAAAAAAAAAAACTCGTTGAAGCTATTGAAATCTTCTGAGCTGTAATCATTCATCAATTCTATAAAATGCTATTTACTTCATAGCTTGTCTTCACCAAAGTATAAAAAAGTAGTATGAACCATTACTATTCATGCCACTTTAACTTGACTTAGTGCATAAGTATAGTTATAAACAAGTTATGCACTCCAAACTGTAACCAAATTATTATAGCTATCATAAAATAAATGTTTACTATAAAAAAAAAACGTATAAATTTTATAGTTTTCGATTAAACTGAGCACCCTCTCCATTGCGTGGTTCTCCTTTTACTTGCAGCTATTAAATGGCTTAAATAGCATATTTTCACTATTATTGAGAATGAACGATAAAACAAACGATTTATCTTCTAAACTGAAACGTTAAATGACGCCACTTTTGGAGCCAGTACGCCAAATTGCAAGTGAATATACAAGGGTGAGGCAACAAGTATGTAATTYAACTGACTGCCATCTTAATGTTGTTTTATAACTCTTCTTGTCACTGGTTTAAACTTTCGCTATCGTAATAAGAATGAATGAGATATGATTCTGCGAGGTTCCCACAATAAATTCCTAAACTCTCCCAGATGGATTAGATATTTTTTGGACTCGTAATTTCTTAAGCTTATACTTGACCGCCAAAGAATTGATTGGATCTTTTAAGCGTGGCTTTGGATCTCAAAATTTGCAATTGGCCAGATATTCCTCATGCGTTCGACTTCAATGTAGTATAAACTCTCATAAAATGTATACYTTCGAAATATTAAAACTTTAACATATCGTCTCTCCAAGTTGTCTTTCTTAAGAACTAACGTCGCTAGACTAATTTGATAAAACAAATTCAAATCAATAGTTTCACCGTCTCTAAATATATTAAGGGGTTAGGTGGGTTTCAGAGGTACCAACAAAAGGTATTTTTACGATTTTTTTTTAATACAAGCAATCATATATATGAAAAAAATAATATGTTATATCAAAGGTATATACTCGAACAATATCTCCTGAAATTTCGATACAAAAATGTTGAAAATTCCGAGAGACCGCATTTCTCTGGGTGTCTCTCAAAAAAGTGCTCTCGCCGTGGACAGCATAACTTATTATTGGTTCATATAAAATTAAAAAACTAAGCATATTCTATTAGTACATATCTAAATCTCATTTTTGAACGTCGGAAATAAAAAAAATATTAAAATTGTCTATCTTTTCTCGGACTTTGAACAAAAGATCTCATTTTTGATAAAATTTTTGGAATTTTTTGGTCAGAAAAATAAGTTGTAATGAAACAAGAAAAAATCCTTCATTCTGTAACTAGATAACATTATTTTAAAAACGTGTACACAATACGAACTAAATCGGTCGTGACTTTTTGAGAAATCGTGCCCACCGACTTCAAAAACACAGTTTCGAGAAAAACGCGTTTAAAGACAGGGCACTTAGCGCAGCTAGCCTTGAGTGCACAAGTTCTCAAGGTTGTATCTCCGAAATTATTACTCAGATCAACTTTAAAATTTAGGACTACATTCTAGAGGTATTGTAGAATTTAATAAAGGAAACAAACAAAAAAAATCGATTTTTGGAAATTTTCAAACCCACCTAACCCCTTAACCAAATAGTGTAATGAGTAAATTCTACTCTCGATTAATCGATCTGGCACCTATACAAAATTATGTAAGTTATCCCATGTATAATGATGTAACCATGAAAAAATCCGACCTGATCGCTTTGAAGTGATAGTAAGAAAAAATCCTAAAGCTTTGCATGGTCGAATATCGTGTAGAAGAGTTATAATTGATAAGACGGAGCTAAGAGTTCTATGAACTATTCAGAAAATACATTTTTGCCGCTCTGATTGAGGTGTCCAAAAMACATGCCTCTTCAGTTATYGAAAAACGTAGACCCCTTAGTTTATATWTTTGTACGGGAATCAAACGAAGTCGTTCGGTGGCCACATGAGTCATCTAATCGTTGTTTTGAGTGYCCGAAAATGCGGTTTTTTCAGTCGAGATGTGTTGTTTTTCTGATTTCTTGAAAGACAACTGACAAACATATGGTTGTGTACCACTCAARATTTATTGTTCTGCGTTATTTCAGTGATATGGTTGCGATAAGTGCAGTTTTTCAACAAAAAATTAAAAAAAAAAAAACAGGCAACCATTCGCTTGGAAGTTCCTCGTCCGCGAACAACTTTTATTGGGTTTATCTAATAATCAAGTGGTAAATTGTTTGGGATCCAACGTAAACATGCTTTTTGTGCAATCAAATGTTCAGGCAATATTGACTTTGGCCTCTAGTTATCTCTTCCATCTCACGATATGTCACACGATGATCTGCCTGTATTACTTTACACATAACATCAATAGTTTTCGGAACATGAAATGAGTTTGGACGTCACGAAATTCGTCTTGGAGTGATCTACTACCTTGATTCAATTCCCCATACTACCCATAAAATTGTTTCTTGATAAAGTTTCATCGTTAAAGTTTGATTTAAAGTTATCGATGCAGGGTTTTTGAGTTAACCCACGACGAAAGTTTAAAAAAATAAACGCGCGAATGAATATTTTAAGTTACTGTAAAAAACACAAATAGTGCTCTCATGTCAAAACGTTCCGAGTATGTACAATAACAAAAATGTCAAACTTTACGATAAAATTGTAATTTGCCAAATGCAACACTAGAATTGCCAAAATCGGYAAAAAAAAAGCCATATTATATAAAGACAACTGTCAAACCGGATCGGTGGAATTTCCATTACTTTTGTATGTACCCTCGTATATAATTTTGAAATATATTTATATATGTATATACATACATATGTAGTTATCGTGAAATACATATTGCCATAGTAAAACGCATACTAAAAGTATATAAGAAGCCGATGAACTCTGCTTATTGTATCCGACAGCGTATAAAACTCACTTGTAAATGTAGTGAACGAGTTAAAGTGACTGCTCCGCACACGGAATAATTTTTCATGTGACTTCAAAGTCTCGCATTTGTCT